ATAGAAGTAGGCACGAGATGACGCGGTTGGTATTGGAGGCCGGCAGAATTGCAGAGCTAGGTGACACGTGTGTGAGCAGCCCATCAGTGGTGTTGACAGATAAGGAACTTGATTACATGTATTCGCGATAGGGTTTGTGGTAACATGGGATAAAAGGAAGAAAGAAAAAGTAAAAAAAAGATTGAAAAATATAAAATTGTAAAGTATTGGAACACGCGCGTTGGTTATATTTGATGGTTTTTAGAGCTACGCACGTGCGACGTTGGCGTGGTGGATCGCATACACCACGGAGATCTGCGTGTAATAAACTGTTGTTGAAAGTTAGCGCTGTGTTGTGTCTATGTGCCTTCTCTTGTCCGTGTTCGTTGTCTGCGCTACCATCCATCATCAGGCAAAAAAATCGATTTTCTGAAACTCAGGTTTTCAGTTTCTGGAACCCTTTTTCTAACTGGTTCCAAAATATCTACACTGAAAACCGCGCAGAAGTGCTTCGGAAAATTCGGTTCACCCTCCTAGGTAGCAAAACTTTTTCTGGAAATGGTGAGAAAACGGCGATTTTCAAAAAATTATAGCTTCGCGATGCTTGGGCCGGGAGCCGGTTTCTTGGGCTCATCGGAAAGAGCATTTCTCCGTGTTTAACTTTCCCGCCTCAGTTGGCTCCTTCCTTTAACAACAAGCCAGCAAAAAGCAAATGTTTGAAAGTCGTTTTGAGAACCTTGATTGGCCGTGGCCGCCATGTTGCCTGAGCTCGCCTCGCCATTGGCCCGATGCTCGCTCCGGGAGATCGTCGTCTGCTGCTTGTGCGTCGCGAGGACATGGCTCTCGAAAATCGCCACTTCGTGACGTATTCACGGCTTGATAATCACTTGAGATATATTATGAGCAGTAAGCGGATGGGCGATCAGGTTACTACGAGCGGGAGCGCGGTCTACGAGCGCCGCGCGTCATCGGAGTCGTCTAAGCCCTAACTCCGCCGACAGCGTGACTGCGGGCAGGAACGACGCGCCAGCGCATTCGTGGCGACGTGCTTCTTCACAAGCAACGAAGCTGTAAGCGGGGGCACGATCTGATTACTACGAGTGGCCGCACCGGATGCACGATCAGATTACTACGAGCGGGCGCGCGGCGGTCTACGAGTGCGGCACGTCATCGGAGTCGGCTTTAGGCCTAACTCCGCTGACAGCGAGACTGCGGGCAGGAACGATGTGCAAGCGCACTCTTGGCGACGTGCTTCTTCGCAAGGAATGTACCACATCACTCGCTAGCTCCTCTAAATCTTGTACGGGCATTTTACGCATGGGCAGCGGACAACACAGTCAAGCTCGTCACCCCCCCCCCCCCCTTCACGGCCAAGAATCGCTCGGAACAGCGGCTAGCAGTTTCACGCGTCGTCACTCAAAAATGTGATGCCAAGTGCAGTGCACGCCGATTTTTTTGTCATCATAATTACAGATTTCGCGCATCGTCACCGAACGCCGCTGGCAAGTGCATTACGCGTCGGTTGCACTGTCCACGCGGCCGTGCACTTCACGGTCATATGGAGTGCTGTTAATAAGCTTTTGTGATGCGATTTAGACATGTGTGATGTGATTTATACGTGCTTGGAGCCGTGCTTGGTATCGCCATAAACGTCTATGAATGAATGTTCTGAGGCAATGAAAGCCTCGTAAATTAGCGTTTCTGCAACCGGCTGTATGATAATACATTTGACGGCTAGAGCGGCAAAAGAGCACGTATGAATAAGGGCAAGAATTTTTATATGCCTGTTTTACGTCATTAAATATACTGCTAAAATTCCTGTGCCACCAGTTTTCTGCCCATAACTTTGTTATTTGGAAAGAAGGCATAGGCTGTCATGGTGTGATCCATTTTTCTGATGCAATAAACCTCTCTCAAAATAAAGAAATGTTCATTGAATACTTATAATCGAGAACGTAATTACGCTAATTGCAACTTCGGCACAAGAAATATGTGTAATCAATGCAGTATATGGTCTCATTCAATTACAATCGTTTCTGTCATGCCTATCACATCACTCCTTCATACAAAGAACTTGGTTTGAAATCCATACTTGTTCTTTGTAAAACATGAAAAGGAAATTATGGGGGGGAAAAAAAGGGCAACCAAGGCACACTGGTCCAAGACCGAATACCTGAAAAGTCAAATATCACAAGAAAAACCTAAGATCACAATCTTTAGGTGTTTTAGAGGCGTAAAAAGAAGTTAAAACTTTAAACGCAGTTTTCTCAATACTGTTTTTTTGGCATTATACTCAGCTCGTGGAGCAGATATCTGGGCAACCACTGTACGGATTTTGATTCCTTTTATTTTGCAATGCTCCTTGAACTGTGCTTCAGGGGGCTGCGAACTTAGTTTCTCATTGTACTCCTTAAAGAATTTTTTATACAGTTTCTTGTTTGTAGTTTAAGCGTGCTCATTGCAGGGTCGCTGGAGAAAACGTAAACTACAAGTTTTAGTGTTGCAAATAAGTTATTTTGAGAACGCAGCCCCCTTCAACATACATTTGGCTGTGGATACAGCAATTACCAACCATTTTTGTCATTTTATAAATCCTCCAGCCCCTCCACGAGGTTCAATTGAAAAATAATTTGTTTCTCATTAAGTATTTGTGTTATCGCCTCGAAATTTTTGTGGATGCAGGGTAAGGCCATTCTTAGTGTCTGTGCCGATTTTCATCATCACTCTACCAGAAACAAGAAAGCTCATTCTCAAAGGCACGTCCCCCCTTAACAAAGTGAGCGAGCAAAACCGAAATCATGTGCCAGCTGCTGTGCTATTTACGGAGCAACATGAATAGCTGCTCAATCCTGCCAATGTCAATATAAGTGTTGCCGAATATACGGTATTTACTCGATTCTACCGCGCCCTCGATTGTAACGCGCACCCATTTTTCTCATTGGCCCGCACGATCACACTACTCGGGAAAACGACTCCTTTCGGGAACGTCTTCCGTTTATATATGAGGTACGGGGGAAGCTTGTGCCTATCTGACGTGCAACGGAGCATTGCCGTTACTCTTGTTTTACCGTGGCCCGATGTCAGCATGCGAACTTGCTTCGCCCCCTTCTTCTCGGCGGTTGTAGTGCTAGGCATGTCGAAGTAAAGAGGCCTCTGATCGGCATTCTCGATTTGCCCAAGCAGGTAGCCGTTGTTGTGCCGCAAGTTTAGGATGAACGTCTGAAAACTGTGAAGCTTTTCTTCGTACTCTTCCGGCAAGTTTTGACCCATGCCCGTTCGCTTTCGGAGGGAAAAGCCTTTCCTCTTCATAAAGTTAGTTAGCCAGCACCTGCTCGCTTTAAACTGGCTCCGCGTTAGCCCTTTTTCTAAAGCTAACTGCATAGCCCGCACTTAGAGCATTTCTGTCGTCACGGGCCGCTGTGCCGCTTGCTGCTCAAGCACATACTCGGCGAGCAGCTCTTCAATTCGCGGAAATCGGCCCTGCTGTGGTCCACTGAAGCCTTTGCGTGAATCTTTGCTGTCTACAATCTTCTGCTTTTGTTTCCGCCAGTCCCATTGCATGCACGTTTCTGGAACTCCGAACGACCACAATGCGGCCCGATTTCCGTCTGTTCCGGCACACGCGATGACTTTTTTTTTTTAAAAGCGGCATCGTGGTGCCGCTTTTACACACAGGCAGAAATTGCCGACGCGCCATGCGGCCCATGCCGAAGCACATAGGGGGCGGCCATTTTGGAAATGCCGATGGCAATAGAATGACCGTATTCATTTTTTTTTTTTCGCACTCGATTTTAACGCGCATGCGATTTATAAACTCGCTTAACCGGAAAAAAGATGCGCGTTAGATTCGAGTAATTACGGTAGCATGTCATCTAACCTCGATAGTGATGGCACAGTCTTCCACACACAATAAGCCTGCGAGTCATCTGAGCCTGCTACACTCAGATGCAGTGAAACGCAAGCTAGCCAAAATTTGTCAAAACTAAAGGCACTTTCAGTTGCTGGATATGCACGCCAGCAGGAGCATACCACACTAGTAATAACTCCTTCGTCAAATGCCTGGATGAGTCATGAGGAGTTTGCAAGCAAACACAGTAGTTGCATTCATCCTTGGAATGATTCCCCTAAGTGAGTGTGTGTGAGGCTGCTCTCATTCGCGTGCGTCGATAGTGTTCTGCTTCCACTGCCATATTTTCGTTACTCCTACCTGCTCCATCTTGAAAGGAAATGAATGCATGTCACTCTGGCCAAATTCAGAGCCGTTTATTTTATCATGATAGTTTGGACTTTTGCAAGCTGTTCCTATGGAAGACACAACCAATAGTACAGATGAGCAGAAGGTACAGGAACTGGTACAACGATGGCAGTGAATATGCCTATCTACATAAAAGTGAGATCTGTTGGGGCACACTGATTTACTGCTGCTACACTGCCTTCTAATTCCCGACCTCTTGGCAATATTAATGAGGATACTCGGGCATGAGCCCTTGTAGAAAAGGCACGAGTTCCGACGGGTAGTGCACTACTGAGAATCACTGCCAAATCAATGGCCAACTCATTCACTGTCATTTTGAATTTGCAGCCATATGTCCACATCGTGTCGTCTATATGATGGAGCAGCCTGGAGGTTAAAAGACGCTAACCATACAATTTTCCAGCAGCTTAGGTGGCCAAGTTTTCCCACTTTCATGTGCATTCCATGCTAGCCACCTTGCACACACTTACGTGCACATGTACAGGCACATGCTGTTGCTGGGGCTATGTGCAATATGACGCTACTTCGTGCTGCATTCTCATGCTAAAGTGACAAAATCTGGGACAAAATCAATAGGTGGTCAGTGGGCTGAAATTGTTACTTCAAGGATGTCTCTCTCTGTTATCTTTTCAGGTAGCGGTCATAAATAGATGCTTTTCTATAGTGTAAAAGCGGGGAATATAAACACTTAGTCATACTGAGGAATGTATCGTGTGCAGTTTTCAACTGCAAATGGCTACACAAGAAAATTGCAGTAAAGGCCCACCTTTTCAATGCGAACGGTAGGTGCAGTAGCCGACAGGGCCTCGGTGACTGGCTGCTGGCTAAGTTGCGGTGTGGGGCTCTTGCTGCTTTTGTCCTTGTCATCCTCTTCGAAGGCTGGCAGCAGATCCTCTCGGCCATGGAAGCGGTAGCAGTTGATCACTATCTGGCGCAGGGCGTGCGTCCACGACACCTGCTGGGTCAAGCAAACTTGCTATTTGCTGTAGCTCGCTTTTCCTTCGTTACACCATGAGGTGCAAACAATCAGTCACCCGGAAACTGTAGTTTTACCAAAAATGCAAAGTAAGCAGATCAACAGAAAAGTGTTACCCTTCAACCACTTAGAGCTTGCGATCTGGTGGTGGTGTTGCAGTCGTGCATGGTTTTACAATGAAGACCTAGCTCCGAGAATTTTTTTAAATGGCGTTGTTCCACGTCTTTGATGATACAAAAGTAGCCCCAACTTGTTTCCCTCTTTTCGTAGCCATGCTCTGTTCATCAGCTCATCTCTCCTGCATGAGAACGAACGGTGGCGTGTGTGCACACAAACGGGTTCTTCCTGTGGACGACATGAGAGGGTGACAACATTGATGTCACGGCAAACGATGAGAGGCTGAGGACTGCTAAATAAAAGGTCCAAAGAGGAGAAGAGAATGTTCTTTGCAGTTTGTGGGGTGTTCACGGCTCATAGCGATGCCATGTTTGGCTCTACTGATGGTGACGGCAATCTGAACTCGATGCATGTACTTGCTTATAATTAGTGGTGCATGAATCATCCAACCTTCAAATAGCATTTTTTAAATAGCATTTGCTGTTCGACTCTATTGGCACCAGAATTTTACTTTTCAAAGTATTCGAACTCCCAGGAAATAAATATTGTGATAACAAATCGGTGTGCAACATGCCTGAATTGCGTTTTGGTGTGCTGACATAGAAAACTGCTAGCTAGTTTCACCAACGATCCAAGCGGTCGTTGCACGACAAGCTTAACTAGGGGAGTTCACTGCTAATGAATGAAATACCGATTCGCGGTTCCAAGGAGCCAGCAGGCTATCTGATTCGTTACTTTCGACAGAGCATATTGCAGGTTCTTTGCTTTCGCATGTGTATGTGCACAATGTTCGGATTTGCCTCGTAGATCAGTGCTCATAGAGCCTAGTTTTTTTTTATTTTGAAAGTCTGCCCTTAAGCACAATAATTTTTTATTCAAAGATACACATACAAGCTTGCTTCAGGTAGCCTAGTTACGACCCCGAGCAGTAAGCTCGGTAACAGTGTGTGTAGCCATGGTGCCCGATGTTTTAAAGTGCATCATGCTCGATCGTGAGTAAAAAGAGTTGTCACCGGATGGTTTTAGTCATGAGGTCTGAAGCACAACTTCTAACCCAAAGTCGCACGAGTCTGTTGGTCATGAATGCACGTCTGCAATGTTTGCAATGAGTGCAGCAAACCATTTTTATATGATGATTGAGGTTCTGCCCGCAGCTGCCAAACTAAAGTGTAATTATAATCTAAGTGAGCGTCGACATCGATCAGTAAATATAGAGTTAGTGCGAACACGTCACAAAGTAGTGCGATTGTCGACAGCCATGACCTCATGACCACAGGCAGCACGCAATGCTGTCCCAGAGCAACAAAGTGTTGCCCAGAGAGAGCATCAAACCAGTAGTGGCAAAAGGTGCTGAAAGAACATGCCAAACATGGGGAACAGAAGACCTTGAAATGAACTTTTAAACTTCCTTTTTTACGCATGTTACTCAATGGGGGACCTAGATGAAGTGAGAAATCTGAAGTCTGAGAAATGCTCTCGGAAGTGTGCCAAATGGCGGCGTCCGGTTGCAACATTGCCGAGCTATAATTTTCTTTACAAATATAATTTAAAATATGCTTAGGAAGCTTCTGCATCCCCGTTTTTTCCCTGCAATTTCACCTCGAAGCACAGACATGCACAGGGCTACAGCGACAGAACAATGACACATCGTTCCTGGACCTGCGCACGATTCTTTACTGCGCAGTTATCCAAGCTTCAAAGCATTCGACAAGGACCCGTGGACACCAGCCGCTTTATCGTGGAAGCAAGCCTGTTGCACTGTCATTGGCGACAAGTGTGGAACTCCGGTCATCAATCTGTCTTTGCAGTGCGGGGGTAGTTACACTGGTGCTCCGCTAGGGGCTTCACATCGGCTGCCATCATCATATAAAGAAACTGAGGCTTGCGTTTGGACACCATTGGCAACAGCGACAGTGCAACGACACATTGTTCCTGGACTTACGCACAATTTTTAACTGCGCAGGTATAGTTAAATTAACCCGCTTTCCTTGCGTTTGCACTGCTGTTGTACTGTCGTTGATGCCATATTTTTTGCTTGCCATTTTCCGCGATTGGTCGTGTTGCGCATATCTGTACTGCCTTGCTGGATTGTGCGCAATGCCTACTACTGCTGAGCTGAGAAAAAAAGTTCTTGAACTTGAAGTCAGACTGAAGAAGTGTGATAATTTGGTTGATGCTATTTTCAACAAGTTCATCATCTAAGCACAGCTATCAGGTGCGAACTTTGCAGACATCAATAAAAAAATAAGTGAGCTGGTAGCTAGTGCCAAATGGTGTTGTGGAAAGTTTACAGAAGGATAACGCCTCTCTGATTGCAGAGAACAGGGCGGAAATGCGGAACCATCTCTGAAAGTGTCACAAATTGTGCAATAAAAAGGATTAACAATGTCAAAGTCAAGGGAATCCCGGTGACAGATGGTGAAGACTGCGTAGTGCTCATGCAGACTATAGGTGATAACATTGATTGTAAACTGGTCCACTACTTGTCCACGTGTACGCACTTGATCCCACTGAAAAACCCGCACATTCGAAGAAAAAAAGAAAAGAAAAGAGTGCTTAACGTCAGGAGGCACAAGTGACGTTTTTTGTTTGCCCCTCCCATCTCTCCTTGCTTAGCTTCCAGTGCTTTGGTTGGGACGAGAGAAGAAAGAATGCGATTGCAGCGTGTGAAAAATCTTTGTAACTGCGCTCGTACTGGAGAGATTTTTAACATTTTTGCGGTGTTGGTTTTCTCAGGCATTTCGCTTTTCCAGTGACTTACTAATTTCACGGTTACCCAAAAAAAGTGTTTCAGGGCCACTTTAATGCAAGGAGCATCCGCAAACACTTCAACTGATATACTTTTTTTATCTGCTCTTGACAACCCTTTCTCACTTACCAGTATCTCTGAAACCTGGCTTAGAGATGACGACAAAAATCTGTTTGCTCTTCCTTCATATAAGTACAGAAGCAAGCAACAATCATGATGGCATTGCTGTTTATATCAAGTCGAACGTACACTATAATCGACGACACGACATCGAGTTAGATCTGATTGATTGCGAAAGTGTTTGGGTTCAACTTGACCACGGTTTCCTTAAGCTTGACAACAAGAGTTTCATGTTTGGGTGCATTTATCGATTCCCATCTTCATCGGTGATTAATTTCTGTGAAACCCTCCAAAAAGTACTGCACACATTAGCTCTTAATCATAGAAATGTAGTGATCATGGGTGACTTACATGTAAATTTGCTTCACCTTTCTTCTCCTAGTTTTTTGAATTACTCCAGTGTTTACCAGAGTTTTGGCTACAAATGTTTAATATCCATTCACACATGCTGCATCAATGATGGAAGTACCCTAATCGGTCATGCACTCTCCAACTTATCTCAAGTGCCCGATGCAGGGATTTTTAATGTCGACACCAGTGACCATTACCCGATTTTTGTGCGCTTCAACTGTCACACTACTCCAACTAGCATATCTTTCATTAGGCATGTTCTAGACAGGGAAGTCATTCATGATGTTATGTGCACCGACTGGTCCTTAATAATACACTTAGATGATCCACAGACAGCCCTCACAGAGTTTTCATCCATACTATTGTCCTGTATTCAGTGCCATACTCAGGTTTGTAAATGTAAAAAAGTTTACCCCAGTCCTCACAGCCCTTGAATTACTGAAAAGTTATTCAAGGAGCTAGGACCCAAAAAAAGCCTTTATAGAAAATTAAAACGGAAACATTTTAATATAAAATCATTTGCACGTTACAAAAAATTTTGCAACACCCTTGCATTACAACTGAAAAAATGCTGCAATATTTAGAACGAAAGGCTGATGATGCTGGCTCAGATATAAAGAAAGAAAGTGGGAAATTTTGAACTCATTCTTGAACAGTCAACTCATTTTTGAACAGGAAGGACAGTAACTCTAGCATCACAATCAATAAATATAAAAACGTTAAGTATGATACCCCATCAAAGATTACTGAAGCTTTCAGTAACTACTTTTTTAATGCTGACGTATATCCCCGATGCTGATTATCATCTTCCCCTTTCTCGTCTGCCACGATCATTCTTGTTATTTCCTACCACATCTCACGAAGTACATGATGTTATTCGAAACCTGAACACAACAAGTGCTGGTCCTGACGGTACTTCCCCAACCCACGCAAAAATGATCGCACATGCTGTTTCTGATATTTTATCATCCATAATCAACTTAGCTTTCAAAACTTCTATCTTCCCTGCAGAATTGAAAAGTAGCAAAGTTGTTCCTGTGTTTTAAAAAGGTGGCCGTCCACAAATATTCAACTATCAACCCTTTTGCATCGTAGATTTCTTCAGTAAGTATTTGAAAAATTGCTCGAAACTCGCCTAACCGAATACCTCAATAAATATCAGGTTCTTCAACTTTCGCAATTTCGTTTTCGTCGAGGCTATTCCACTGACCTCGCTCTGTTATCAATAACTGAAAAGCTAAGGAGAGTAATAGATAAGGGCTTCTACGCAGGTTCTGTTTTCGTTGATTTTACCAAAGCATTCGACATCATTAACCACTACATTCTTTTCATGAAGCTTGAAGCCGTAGGTGTAAATGGTCCTAAGCTAATATAACTAAAAGATTACCTACTCAAAAGAAGTCAAGCTGTAAGTCTGCTAGGTTTTCAATCTACACTGAAGGTAACAAATATTGGAGTACTGCAATGTTCTATCCTCGGCCCACTTTTTCTTATAATTTATATCAATGACCTGCTAATTTCTCTTACTATTTCAGAGTGCTTACTTTACGTAGATGACACAAAAATTATTAACACTCAAATACCTCCAATCTCTGACACAGAAATTGAATAATGATCTTTCAAGCTTGACTGCTTGGTGTTCCCA